TCAAAATGTAATAAAATGCTGCGCACCAGCCAGGAATTGTGTGCGTGGATATGTGCTTATAGTTGTGTACACACAAAAACCAACCATCATTATGATTGACATGTTGCAGGATGGAGGTTGCCTTGGAGACACAAAATGCCTTACATTCAGTCACAAATGGAGAAGCAAAACACTCTCTTTCTTTTCAGTCTTTGTGCTCAGGGTTGCTACACATTCTGTCATTTTTGTCCCAGAATCTTTTATCCTCCAGTTCACACTCCATCTGCGCTGTCAAATCTGCCGCCCTTTTATTAGTCTAGCACCTTGTTCGTTCTGACCTGTCTCCATATTTCATTATCCCATGCCTTAGACCCCTCCTACTATCCCTCTGTGCACCCCTTTTTCATCCCTTCTTCACTTCTCTGTTCACTCCTTGTCTATATTTCACAATGCATCTAGGTGACACATCAGCCTTGTGTAACTTGTACCATCTGGGGGCAAAGCTTTGACAAAGTGAAAAGCTGATGCCCAGACAAACGCGCAAACACACACAGCACTGGATGCAACATTTAGAAAAAAGCTGCCGTCTCTGCCAATGCTGTAACCATGGGAATCAGTGTAAACAGAAGCCGCTGTCAAAACTGGATTGACTGTGTGTATTTAATGAATAATCATTTGAGTTCCTATTCCCTTGACCAAGTTCTGTTGTTAAGGAGACAGGCGCAGAGCATGCTGGTTGAAGACGATGATTTCAGATCATCAATACAACAGGCAGGAACTAGACAGGCCAAATAAAACCAGGTGCAGCTCAGGCAGGAAACAAGACAGGGCACGAAGTTGATCATTATTATCATCTTCAGCAAGGAGGTTATGATTTTTGGTTTGTTGGTTTGTCAGTAGGATGACGTAAAAACCTACTGGTACGATTTTCATGGAACTTCTTTTTGTGTGAAGCGAAGAAGAACTCTAAACCTAAATGTTGAAGCAGATTCACATCAGTGGATACAGAACTTGTTTTCACTCATGGAAATGGTTTTATCAGAGGACTCCAAGTTGATCTAGTTACACAAAAGGAACATCACTTAGGGTTTGTTGAGTTTTCTTCTGATGTAGGTTTGGTATAAATGCATGCTCATTGCAGTAACTCTACTGACAAGTTGCGTGCGTATCTGGCAGAGCGCAGTTTGAGTTCTTGGTAGCACTGTACAAAACTGTGGTAGATGAATGTGATTGGCAGTGCCAAGAGAACAATGCCACTCACGACACACATTCCCCCAAGCACCCGTCCTCCAACTGTCACAGGGTACACATCCCCATACCCGACAGTCGTCATGGAAATGATGACCCACCAGGCGGATGCTGGGATGCTGGCAAAATCCGGGTTCTGTGTTCCTAAATCCAACCCGTACTCCAGCAGCTGGGCCAGAGCACTGTATATTGCCATGGCGACAAAGACAAACACCATCAGCATAACCATCTCCCGGTAGCAGCGTGTGAGCGTTAGCCCCAGAGTCTGCAGGCCCAGGAAGTGTCTGGCCAGCTTCATGAGCCAGAACACTCTCATCATCCTCAGCACCCGCAGTACCACCCCGGCCACCCCGAGCCCAGCATCAGGCACCCCGGCCTGGGCCAGAGCCATGGTGACATAGTAGGGGGTGATTGCAATCACATCGATGATGTTCAGCGGCTGGCGGAGGAATTCGCACTTGCTTCTGGCCAACAGAAAGCGTATCGTGCACTCTGCTGTAAACCAGCCAATACACACTGCCTCCACCGTCCTACAGAGAAAAACAGGAGAGGATCAAAATGAGCTGAAGTGACTGTAAACAGGAAATGGCAGAGGACAGTGAGATATGGATAATATGAGACATGTTTGACAATCTGTAAATGAGGAGGAAAAAGGATGCAGAGCAGGAGGGAAATGAATGATGGGAAATAAGGAGGACATGTGACGCATTTCAGGGTTGACATAATTAAACAAGGACAGCAGGGTGGATATATAATAAGGAAACTGCCTGGAAACTGCACAGAGGGGGGATTAAAAACCCTCACATAGAAATAAAAAAAACAAGCAAGCACACGATAACCCCATTGATTAGCACAGCAAAGGCAATCTAACTGAACCAGAGTGAGGCGGAGCTTGTATTGGACAAAAGAACAGCCAGAGCCTCAGGATAAGTACACACAACTAAATTATAGAGTTACTCAGAGAATTACATCATCTACTGGCATGAAACTAAATTAGAAAAATCTTGACCCAGAGTGTAAACTACATTTGTAGTGATTACCTAACCACTGTGAGTGATCCAAAACCCAGCCTTATATAGAGAGAGGTTGCCTCGGGCTTCCATAGAGAGAACATGCTGTGCAAAAATAATGTGAAAATAGAGGTGCATTTTCCACCTCGCATCCAAAACACTGAGGCCAAAATAATACTCAAGAAGCTGACTGATAGAAGATGAATCCTGTAAATGGCTTCATTCCCTTTTGTTTGCTTACACGAATATAAAATGTCCTCAGTACACTTTCTATTTTCAAATGATTACCCACTGGCTTATATTATGTATCTATCATGAGTCTGATATGTGTGTCTTTCTTGTGTAGGCTACTGTGCACTGTAAACTAACCAAGCCAATAAAGATATTTTAGGTAATGAGGCATGAGGCTCCGGAAAAACCCAGGGTGTAATAATGAACACTACACGTTTAGTACATAATATGGATTGTTTATTGATTGGCTTCCTTGGAGCTTCTCTGACACCTGAGCATCCTAACGTTTAAACGTGATGCCTGAAACTTACTGTATTAATCAAAGAGGTGTTTTCAGTTTAAGCAAAAGGCTTAAGTCGCTATACCAACACATTGCATATTCCAATAACTTGCATATAGACTGTTATTGCACTATTTCACTATTTAAAACTATTTTTGTATTTACTATTTACTATTTACTTGCACTATATTTCTGTTTAACTGTTTCACTGTGTGTTGCACTGTTGGAGGAGCCTGTGACCTAAGATGTTCATCGTCATAACTACAGCTTTGTTCGTATGACAAAAATAAAAACCTTGAACCTTGGTGTATAGTCATGTTTTAAATATATACTGTATATAAATTCGAAGTTACTGTTGATTTTCCACCATTCAATATAGGAAAAACTATCAGGGCTCAACATGTTGGCACGCATCCATGCCAAACGTTATGGGTAATACATGGAACATGCGCAATAAACGCATGCGTGTGTCCATAAGTGTGTTTATTATGTGTAAAGATAGTTGATTATGAAATAAATTAATCCGTCATATATAAAAAATAAGGTCACAACTGACTTTTACGCACCAGATGTAAAGCACAATACTGCGTCCTAAGATTTAGCAGCATCTTCAGGAAGTTCCCAATTGTATTCCTCCAAACCTAACTGACCCCTGACTATCGCCTACCTCTGTTCCTCCACAATGTTTCTCTTGGCAGTATCCCAGTCCGGCAGGGTGCTGGCACACAGCATTATCATAGAAACCAGCACAAAGATTACTGACACTGAAGCCAAAAGCTGTGCCAAAATTGAAGAGTTTGGCTCCTCGAATGTCTTGCGCATTTTCTCGAGCCATTTGGCGCGACCGGTGAGCGCAGTCTCGTGCACCTGTTCGCCCGAGCTTTGGGAGTCATCCCCCGAAACTCCGACGTCCATTTCGGAAATAGTGTCAATTCCAATCTCGGACATCCTGTCGTCCAGGCGTTTCTGACAGCAGGAGTCCAAATGCACGCTTTCCAGTCCCCAATAGAGCATCTCTGTGTAGAAGGAAAGCTCACACACTCCGGGGACAAAGCGGAGTTTACCGGAGCGCAAGTACAACATGATGAACATAAAGACCTGTGAGTGGCGATCAAAGAAAAACTCGTTCTGGTCCCGGTCGTAGTCATCGCACAGTTCAAGAACCTCTTTCTCGGTTGCGCATGCATGCAGACGGCTGACGCGCCGGAGAGGGAAATCCTTTATCACTTCCCGGGTGAAGGCGTAACGGGTTCCCCCTACATTGAGTACGCAGATGCTCTTTCCGAACTTCATCTTATAAACCTGTAACCCACACTAAAACTCATCTTCACAGTCCAGCGTCCCTTCCATCAGGAGTTTGGACATGTGGGGGCTAGTCTCCCCTGGCTGTCCCCACGGGGCGTGGTTGGCTCTGAGTGCAGCTCCGTGTCTGAAGGAAACTCTCCCCTCTGTCCTTTACTCCTCTCCTCTCTCTGTAGCCTGAACAACAGACTCTCCACCCCAGTAAGGGCGAGCCAATCCCATCAATGATGTCACATGCGCGCGCACGGACGAACACATTGAAAGAAAAACATACAGGGAATCTCGAGGGACTCATTTTACAAACATAGCAAACAATGTTTTGACATAGACTTTAAAAAGTAGGCTACATATACTTTTACGGATGAATCATACGCTAATTTCCCACAACCTGATATATTCAGAATCCTCAATAAACATACATTGTAGCCTATCAACTATCAAATTATGTTTGCCCAATTCTAATAAGATTTGTTTTAAAGATTTGTTTTAAATTGTGATCTTTCCTCATAACCAATACTCTATTCTGTTTTAATGTTTCTATTCTATTTCTATTTCCCCACAATTTACAGTATGTTCTTGACATTGTATTATCCTGTTTTCCCTTTATGATTTATGTATACATCAAACACTAAAACAACCTCGTCGTAGTTGAAAATCAACTTGGCAATAAACCTTATTCTGATTCTGAATTGCATTGCCAAAGACTGATGTTGTTGTGCCCATGACAGTGAAGAACAAACACATGTATAATAATTTATTACGAACATCTAACTCCTAGTAGGCCTATCCCCTTAAGTAGCCTAAATCCACAGGCTACGCAAATGCCAAAAAAAGTTGGAACAAGAATAAATTACGCACACATTTTAAAGGTAATCATCAGGATTGATAAAGGTAACTGTGTGTGCGTGTGTTCGTGCGCGCGCATGTGAGTGCGCGGCCCCCCTCTCAACGTCACCAGCGGTTTTTCGGGTTGATCCGACTTCTTTTGGCTGCCGTGAGTTCACTGTATTGTAAAGGGTACTGTGAATCCTAGAGGAAGGGGGGGGTTGATTTGGCAAAAAAAAATCTCCCGCTTGGGTACACATCCGGAGTCTCGACGATCATAATTCACCGCACCATTTACCTTTTAAAATACTGAGTTTTATTGTTTTTATTAATTTATTGTATTTCTCTTAGTTTATGGTTTACGTTAACACTCCGGGAGGGCAGAAATGGCGGCCAACATGTACCGGGTCGGAGGTATGTATGTCAATGTGGATCTTTTTATCAAACTGAAACCCTTCCAGTTTTGCATCCCCTGGGATTTGTGTGGCGCTATTTTTGGTTTGTTTGCACCTAATAGTGAGATACGGCTGTGCTACACGTACAGAGGTGCGTTAAGTTTCCGCAGGAAGGTGAGCGTTTCTAAATATTTTGGATTCAAAATGGGTCAGGCCTCGCGTCTGTCGTGGCCACAGCAGCTAGCCGCCAGCTTGCTAAATGGCTAGCTTACAATGTAAACATGTTTCAATTGTCGGCACCCTTGTTGCTCTTTGGTTTTCTGATAGCCGCACAAGGAATACAAGTTTACGGACACACTGTAGCACTACTGAACTAGACATGTGTTCAAAAGGTTGTTAAAATGTTACCACGGACAGTGTGAGGCTGCCTTTGTATTTGCCTCTTCTGGCATGCAGCCATTAGTACGAGACCTTATTTAGCTAACGTTAGCACCAGCAATGGCTTCACTGATTAGCATTATTGCAGTTGTGGCGCCTGTACCACTTTTAAGAGGAATGCATCTCACAGTCCTGGTAACATTACACACCCGGCTTTGCCACAATGTCCACCTACATTCTTTAGAGGAACTGTTCATTATCACATTGGCTTGTTAGCTTCTTAGCAGTGTATTGTAATTCATTATCAAATTACAGTCTCGATTAATGGCGTCGTTGCTTCCGGATGCACTTACATCTTTATTCACATCCATATTAATTAATCTTAAATGGCTCATAAGCTTGCCATGTCACCTAAACATGAAGCATCTCTGCACATTTGATGTAATTGGCAACCGTTTGTATAAATGTTGTTACCATATGTATCAGCTTGTTGTCCTTATGGTCACCTCTTTCAGCTCTGTTGTTGCCTTCAGGTACTCTTTGAAAACTGCAACTCATAGGATGAAGTTTGATGATTCAGTTGTTTTAATGAAATAATAACACATCTGATTTGGATCTAGTCTTTTGGAAATGTTCATACCTATAGCTCGTCCTAGTTTGTGCAACATAAGAGAAGAATATACATGCCAGGGCTGGAATTCTTTCTGTTTCAACAATACAACTGGGGATAAACATTGTGAATCCAGACGTGGAGAATTGTAGTATGAAACCTTGACAACTGTAAAATATTGACCTCTTAACTGACTTGTGTATGTGCCTGGAGCATAGTTATGATAATATTTAAGACAGCATTTGCCATGTTCAGAACTTTTCTTAAGTTACTGTATGTTCTGCTCAGGTAGAGGTTAACCAGGCTAGATTTCTGTAAAGTGAGTTTGACTGAAATATATCTCTGTCCTCAATGTATTTATCTTACAAAATCATAACAGTGTGGTGACTGTCTCACAGGATTTGGAGACCTTGCAGTCAAATATAATCACCTTTGCCTGAACCCGTTTGACTTGGAATAGACATTGTTTGTGATGCTTGCTCAATCCATTATCCCGTCTATTAATGGCTCTTACAACCAACCGTTAGATGTAACAATTGCTGATAGAAGTGAAACATTAGTTGATGAATGGTATGTTTAAAAGAAATCGTATTCTCACTTTATGCTCAGCCAGTTTCCTGGTTCTCAGCCTACCCAGGGAGCTAGGAATGAGTTAGTGGTGCAATAAAACGGGTTGTTGAGCATATACATCCTGTTCACTTTATAAGGTACAACCATACAATTTAATTCTACTTTTAGGATTGTAATGTATAGCGTTGTTGACACTGTCAGAGAAGGGTTGATATTGTCTTCTATACAATACCTGTGCAAACTAAAACATCAATGGTAAACTTATTGTCTAACTAGATTGGATAGTGAAGACCTCCATATAGGCAGATGGAGTATGTGCTCCATGGATGGTCCCATTTACAGAGTTGGCGAGACGATCCTCAGACTTTGATGTGTTAACGAGCTTTGAGTGGTAATGTGGAAACAACATGGAGGTGTTTCAAAGAAAATCCGTAGTAGTCCTGTTTTTATTGCTCAGTGTTCCAGGAAGCCTATTTGCCTAACAACAGAGTACAAGTGAAACCAATCGGGTGAGCCATGAAAGTGTGTACTAAGCTTTCGCCAGCTTTCCAAGTGTTTCAGACTTTAAGGGCCACTCGCGTAAACTTTTTCAAGTCTGGAAGCGATTATTCTGACCCAAGATGAATACATCACAAAAAATCTAAACTCGCAATGTTGACAAAAGTGAAGCAACATTTGAGTATATGCCCTGTGATTCAGATATTATCCAAAATCGAATGGGGTTTTCCTTCCTCTTACGTATTAAATCATCTCTGACGGTGTCAATTAAAACTTTATGACGGTGAGCTATTGAATGTCATTCCATTTGACAGGTTTAGCTAAAAAGAGGTCACAATGTGTCCCACAGGATAGTCTTTCGGTAATCTGATACAGTGACGTGATCGTTCCATGTTTTCTCTTGCAGATTATGTATTCTTTGAGAACTCCTCCAGTAACCCTTACCTGATCCGGCGAATAGAAGAACTCAACAAGGTACTGAAGTGTTTGTTTGTTTCTTTTGTGTGTGTGTTTATGCCGTTTATTGCCTGAGGGTGAATAGCTAGGATTCCTCCCTGTTTGTATCCCCACCCCCCACTTTGAAAGGGTGTGTGCGTGTGTTTGCAATTTGTGAACACTAAAAAGTGTTTGTAATAAAAGGTAACCTGACAGGTGATAACCAGCCTCATAACTGCCACAGATATCACTGGACACACCTGAATGCGTAGGGGGGGGGGGGGGGATACTGTAACGAACTTTTCAGGAGCTCAGTTAGCTTTGAATAGAAGATGAGCTCAGTGGCCGATCTGGCGATGCTTCCTGTTTTTACTTCATCCTAGATGAGTATCAATTATGTCAGTTAGGAACACACCAAAGCTAACTTTTATTTAATACTAGACAAGCATCTTTAATGGGCGTGTCAGAAAAGAGTAGTACCCACGGCAAAGGATCCAACTTCAATTCTGACCTCAGGATTTGTTTTTATTCTGTCTCTGTAAAAAGGGAACTGGTGACCCCAAAACAATCATAACAAGAAGAGCTTTTCCTGTGTGCATTTGTACTCCGATACATTATCATGGTGTGGGTGGAAAGAGGTCACACAAACATATAGTACATATGTGTACACAGTAGATTGTTATCATTAGTGATAAACGGGGGTGGACAAAATAACAGGAGCTCATTGAAGCATGATGCAATGTAACACAGTCACCCTCCAACAGATGCTGCCGGTATGAAGCTTGTTTTGTTCTTTTTTTTTGTTGTGGCTGAAAGAAAATTGTTGATCAAAATTGACATACATTTTTGTGGCTGTAGATTATGTTGGTGTTGCATTGTATTGCGATTTGTAATGATGCATTCCTTTTATTTTCTGCACATCTCTCAGGTTAACACTGTCCTAAAAAACATCTGCTCTTACCTAAAAGCTCAATGTGAAAGCAGCAGAAGTTGGAAGCAGTTTTGACACGGAATTTAATACAGGCTGAGTCCTTAAGCCTGTCGGCCTAATTACACAGCGTGACAATCAATCAATGATTTGATCAAAAGCGCTGTTGCTGCCCTGGACAGCCTGTCATAGCAGCATAGCCTGATGTGCACACAAAGGAGCAAGGTCTCCTGGGAAATTAGAGGTTTGTGCAGGGAGGTGTTGTCACTGCTCTCATTCACCCTGGATACCTCTGCTCTCTGTTTCAGACGGCCAGTGGAAATGTGGAGGCCAAGGTGGTTTGTTTCTACAGAAGGAGAGACATCTCCCACAGCCTCATCCAGCTCGCAGACAAACACGCAAGTGAGTAGTAACTCCTGTCGCTCACTAATGGCGCATTTCCACTGCAGCGCGTAGCACGGTTTAAGCGTGCCGTGCCAAACCCGGCCCGTTTTTAAAATGCGTGTTTTCTGAATGGAGTTCGGCTAAGCTAACGCAGTATATGCTCCGACCGTCCACACTCGCAACAACGGCCTACAGACATAAATAAACCAGCTACTGTATTCACCATGACACAGACAGTCTGTGGTTTGTACTTGTTTAAGTGTTGTCTAGTTTCTAAACAGATATGAGGAGCTGTGAGCTTGAGTGCTAACAGCTAACGGCTAATGTTGCTTTTCTGTGGTTCGCGTTTAAGATGACGTCACGGCTCCGCCTACACTGCGTCACTATAGTTACTGCCCCAGCTACTAAACTGTAATGGAAACACAGCATAAAGTGAGCCTGGCCTACCAAGGCCTAACGAGGCCTAACTATACCGTACTAAGCCGAGCGAGGCCTGCAGTGGAAATGCGCCATAAGACTACTTTTTGTTCAGGTGTCACATGTGAATAAAAGTACCGTTTTTAAAGTAATTCAGTGTTGAAGGAGACGGTACAATACACATCAGTTAGGTAGCTGATAGACAGATAATAGTTTAGAAACAACTTACATTTTAATGCTAAACATTTCCTGGTTTTACCTTCACAAAAGGGGAACATTTTCAGCTTTTCTCTGTTGTTTATGATTCTAAAAATAACATTTGGGTTAATCAGACAATTGTGAAATTAACCTACAGGCTAATTGCTAAAAAATAAATAATTAATTTGTTGGTTGGAGGCCAACTGAAATGTATTAGCAGCAAACAACATCTATAAATCTTCACACTTGGGAAGTGGGAATCTGGGAATGTTCTACATTTTAACACCATGAATAACTCAAAGGATGAATCTATTGTTAAAATTGTTGGTCAATTCTGAACTAATGAATAGATATTCCTGGAGCAGTCGAAAACTGTATGGTTTTCCTTTGTGTTTTGAGCCAGCCATAGTGTGGAAAATGTAATTATGGGCTTTATGCCGCCTGTCAGTCAAGCAGACGTCTCCAGCTGCTTTTCCACTTAGCACGTCCTGTGCACATTGTTACATTTATCACCAATATCATTATTATTTTTTTCATGTCTGTCACGGCTCCATAGTGAAACCATTTAATCACATAAATAGACGCTCCAGTGCAACTTGAACATATGCTGCTATTCATATTTATAGTCCACATACATTTGTCAATGACCAGGAGGGAGAGAATTAGATTGAGCCTGTATGAAGAGGAAAATGAAAAGTGTTTCTTTTATCACAATAACACCTGTACTGTTTTGGAATCCTTCTAACTGGTTCCAGTGGTGTTTCATTTTGTCCTTTGGTCTCAATAAAACTAATTGTTGATCACTTCCTTGAAATAAAAACAAGAAACGTCTGCCAATACAATCCCAGAACTTTGAGTAGGATGATTAGGATAAGAACACTGCAAACATCGCTGCTACAACCCGTTGCTGCAGATACACGCTTTACAACATCAGGAGGATACGTCCCCAGCTGACCCAGAAAGCGACGCAGGTTCTGGTCCAGGCTCTCGTCATCTCACGCCTAGACTACTGCAACTCCCTCCTGGCTGGTCTACCTGCATGTGCCATCCGACCTCTGCAGCTCACCCAGAATGCAGCGGCTCGTCTGGTCTTCAACCTTCCTAAATTCTCCCACACCACTCCGCTCCTCCGCTGCCTCCACTGGCTTCCGGTAACTGCTAGAATCCACTTCAAGACACTGGTACTTGCGTACCATGCTGCGAATGGATCTGGCCCTTCCTACATCCAGGACATGGTTAAACTGTACACCCCAGCACGTGCACTACGCTCTGCATCAGCCAAACGGCTCACTGCACCCTCGCTGCGAGGGGGACCCAAGTTCCCATCGGCAAAAACTTTGGGGAAAACCAGTTGTGCTAATTTGGCTAGACTCTGTAAACATAAAGCATTAAAATATGAACCGTACAGTTTGCATGGACATATGCACTCATCGCAGCACAGTGCCAATTCCACAAGCTTTTTTGAGTCTGTCGTCTACCAGCTGCTCTCAGAAGATACTGTAATAGTACCATTTAGCGTTGCCTACCAATTTGCATTGTAAAAAAATAAAAGTCACACAGTTTATGGCTCAGGAGGAAAATAAAAGGACAGACGGTGAATGTGATACACACATATAAATCAGTGTGCAGTATTATAGCTAACACATCTTAACTGTCTGTACTTATGACCAAGCTACAGTTAAATATTTGGATTATAGAGCCATGGTTCAGATTATCTTAAAAATAGAAATGTTCCATTGCTATCAATCCGTGCAAACAGTTTTGAATGAATTTTTCTAGAGTTTAATGTATTTTCCGCTGAGATTACTGTGACTGCCTCCCTAACAAAATAGTAATAATGATAGATGTTATTTATATAGTGCTTTTCCTGGTGCTCAAAGTGCTTGCCAATAGTAGTGAAAACATTTGTGTTTGCTGCTCTCAAAACCACCTAAAACTATCTTAGATACATTTTTTATTATTTTGACTTTGCAACATTTGGGTGCATGCATTTACTCATCCACTGACGAAATGTTGCCACAATGAATTAGCAAACAGTCGCTAACCTCAAGAGAATCAATCGGTGGACTTCCTGCAGTTGCCTGACAGTGGTTTGCAAGTGAAAGGCTTTCCATTTGAAACGGCAGCAGCAGCAGATTAAATCAGAGCATATCAGAAAACAGCAAGGCTGCTATCTGTTGGATAAAAGTAAGAACAGTAACTCATACAGGAATCAGAGAGTCTATTTTACACTAAAATCTAAAGGAAGGGACTTACATTTGTTTGAGCCAATCAGAGACACAGTGAGGGGTTTGGAATGCTGCATCTGAAGTGTTTATCAGGGGGTGTTCATCGTCTGAAATCTCCTTCCCTCCCAAATATCTGATGTTGGAAATAGTGGCAACTTCCAAAGGTTTTATTGCTTTTCAGAAATGAACTGTCCCCAAGCCCAGTTCACACACTTAGATTAGATATATTTTATTGACCCTGTTTGTTTTTCATGGTTGTGTAAGTTGGAGATAAGCAGGATTTGAACTGCTCTCACCAACTCTTTTTTTAACACTTAGTTTGTGTACCAACAACAGAAACACCTTGAATGCCCTTGTTGAAGAACCCAAAGAGTGTCATGTTTCCCATAACATGTTGCCACTAACTATGACAGAAGGTTTTTAACCTACGCGTGCCCATTCAGAACCACTAAATACACTTTTGAGCATACACCTGCCTTAAGGGTATTCCTCTTAGAGTGGAAATGTACACATCAACATGCTGTCTAACACTTACAATGGGTTTGGTTAAACAGCCACAATGAGAGCAGGGTGAGAAGCTGGTCCACATAGAGAGGGGGGGGGGGGAAATGCAATACTGTTTGACTATAAAGGCAAACTCTTACAGACAGTCTCTCTTGGAAGACATTCATGGTGTTGTTCACATCAAATATGACAGATGCAGTTGGCAAGACTGGAACAAAAAAATTCAAACCCTGACAGCTTCTCACCTCCGCAATCACGCTGTGAAGTGGGCGTACATTTCGGATCGTCGGTGTCGGAAAGTTTTAGTAATTGTCACACGAAGCCCCCCACAAACCGATATCACAAATGTCTGGCAGGAGGGGCTTTCCAAATCTATTCGGACATACAATATGAAGCACCTTTTGAAAAAGCATTGTGTAGTTTGCAATGTGACATATTTGGACAGAGGAAACAGGAAATCTGTTTCTAAAATGGATGTAATAGAGTGAAAACAAATAGTGTTATAGGAGATAAATATACATCATCTGCTATTGGCAACTATGTGTATGCCTACACGGTGTAACAACAACTTCTAATGTTTAGCTGCTGAGTCTTTTGTGGCGACTTGGCTGCAGCTAATCCAGTTTTATGGATGAACACTGTGTTCTCCTAAATGTAATTTCTTAAAGTAGTCCTGGGCATAAAAGTGTGCATGTCTTTAATGGACGGCAGCAGTAGTTTGACTGTAAAACTTCCGAGAGCCATTTTAGGAGTCTGCAGAAGAAAGCTCAGTAAGTGGTGTTTTATGAAATCGAACAGATAAATGGATGAGTTTGGCTGAGACCATTTGTGAGTTTGATAATGTGTCAGTCTGTTATTTGTCACCATTAAGCTCAAGCTATTTATTTTTTCTCTGTCGTGTTCTTTGCAGAGGAGTTGGAAGAAGAGAAGGAGAGCCCGGTAGAGACAGATATGTCAGATAAACAGAAACACCAGCTTCGCCACAGAGAGCTCTTTCTCTCCCGGCAGTACGAAAGTCTACCTGCAACACACATCAGGTACTCTACAGTGACTCACTCACTCACTCACTCACTCACTCACTCACTCACTCACTCACTCTGAACCTCACATCTCATCTGCAGGCAGTGCCCATGGATAGTCATTCATCCAGCCATGAACTGACAAATCTAGTGCTGCCCACTTCCTGTGTTTTAACACGGTGCTTGTCCCCCCCCCCTCTCTTTTTCTTTCTCTCTTTCAGGGGGAAGTGCAGTGTAGCGTTATTGAATGAGACAGAAGCCGTTCTTTCATACCTTGACAAAGAGGTGGGCCAAAGAAAAGAACTGGAGTTGTCATCTCTTGCTGTTTTGTGCTTATAGCAGATTGTGTTTTCACTGATAAAGTTAACTTTTTGGTTGTTTAATAATCTGATTATTTTCTTGATTTATCGTTAAGTCTATACAATGTAGGAAAATATTGTGTGCAGTATCATTTTTTTAACACCAATCTTGATTACTTTTTTGGTCCTACCAACACCTCATGGCTAAAACATTACATTTATTATTCCTTGGACAGACAAATCCGTACATGTAATTTCAGCTAGAGAAAAGTAATTTTTCTGTAGCAGCAGGTATCTTTGTTACATACAAATGTCAACTATGTATAATAGAGAAGACATTGAGTTTGACATTAGAGCCTTTTTTTAAACCATGTGCCTTTCTAAAATGTGTGTGTTGTTCTCTTCAGGATACGTTCTTCTACTCGCTGGTGTACGACCCAACACAGAAAACCCTTCTGGCCGACAAAGGAGAAATCAGAGTGGGACCGCGCTTTCAGGCAGACGTACCTGAAATGCTACCAGAGGGTCAGTCAGAACATGTGATTTTAAATGTACAATTACAGGTTTTATTGTTTACACCCGAGCATGTCAAATCTCTAGCCTCATTATCTACATTTCCAATATGTGTATTTGTGTGCGACTGGACTCGAAAGGTTACAGCAGGGAAAGGTAGTGTTGTGAATATACACTCTTTGTTCATAAATGGGGACAATAGCTGCCTTTTTAAATAATCCGCTGTAAATGTAGTCAGAGTGCAAGCACATGACTGACCCTCTCTGTTTATACGAGTCTACCCAGGACGAGAATAATAAATGATACTGTCCCATGACTTGACTCTTAATCCTCTTTCACACATCCAGCTTGAAAACATGACCGAGCTCTAACAGTGTCTGGAGTCAAATTGTCTGAGTTTAATCTCTTAGCTCTACTGGGACATTTGATGTGGTAATCTCACGGGTAGTTCATTATTATTAGAATATCTTATTCTATATTGTTCAGTTTCTTCCCCTTTGGCCCGTGCTGTGTGTAAGCTGTTGCCTCTGTGTGTGCTGCAGGTGAGGCAGATGACAGGGACCAGTCCAAGCTGGAGGAGAAGCTGTGGTATCCAGAGTGTCCGCTCTCCAGCAAACAGATAGACCAATTCCTAGTGGTGGCACGGTAAGACACTCACATCTGACAGCATGTTATGAACCTCCAGTCTGCAGCTGCAACTTCTGAAATGCCACTAAATACAGATTATCCATAATAATGCTGCAGTAACTTTATTAGTAATAACTATTTGTTATGTTTGTTGAAACTCTCACTATATCCTAACTCTCGTGCATGAAGTAGATGATCTGTAGACTGTTCAATATTCCAGCGTGCCCAAAGAAAAACAACCAATAAGATCTAAGGCGCTTCTACCACACTTTTAATCACTGCTCGTGAATTCAGATTAAACTGTAAAACTAGGCAGCATGCCCATTCAATTTGCAGCTCTAACCGTTGCATTATTCAGCCGTTGTTTTTCTGTTTGTGGAAGAATAATTGCAAATATAATCCCTAATGTAATATATGTGCCTTGTTGTTAATTGAGGGATGGTTCCAAAGTATAGTTCATTATAGTAACTTTTTATTATGACCTAAACAAAAGTATATGAGAATTCATCACAGTTTGGGTTTCTAAACTGGACGAAAACAGCATTAATAATGTAGTTTGTGTTTGAGTCATCAGCCTGGTTTAGTCTCATTACTGGAAGCTGTGCAGCTGCTTTTATTTCTGTAAACACCTATATTTTATAAATATATTCTTTAAGTTTGTTTATGGGTGTTTGTACTTTTTTCAGAGCGGTCGGGACCTTTGCTCGAGCGTTAGACTGCAGCAGCTCAGTCAGACAGCCGAGTTTACACATGAGTGCAGCCGCAGCCTCACGAGATATCACACTGGTTAGTAGAAGACGCACACAGTACTTGATTTGGACTTTGAAGGAAAGTTGTAACCCCCCCCCCCCCCCCCCCTTCTTTGTTTACAATTGCAGTTCCATGCGATGGACACATTGCATCGCCATAACTACGACCTGTCCAGTGCGCTGAGTGTTCTGGTGCCGGCCGGCGGCCCCGTGCTCTGCAGGGATGAGATGGAGGAGTGGAGCGCCTCGGAGGCCGCCATGTTCGAAGAGGCACTAGAGAAATACGGAAAAGACTTCAACGACATCCGACAAGACTTTGTAAGTTTGTCTTTGCAACTGAACTCTGGTTTGTTTAACGACATATCGGACACAAGCACTATTCTGTGTTCAGGAGTGTCTTAGTGTTATAATATACGTCGTTGTAATAAGAAGCAAACACAAGTTTTTCAATAACTCAGTCAGGCCGAAATGAGGCTAAGATTTCCCCTCTAGACTCAAAATGTGAATGCCTGAAAGATTTATTTAACTTGATGAGGAGATGAAACCAGAAGAACAGGATAAACATGCTGCATTTTTAAAGATCCAGTCCTAAGATGAGAAACAATAACAGTTTGTTACAATAGTAACTCAACACTCAATCCTCTTTTTAACTTAGTATATTACATGTAAAGTCAATGTATTACACAATGTAGATCCTGCTTCCATTTTATGGTTATTTTTGCATGATTTATTTTCTTATTCAGAGTAGGCATATATGCTCACCCTTTAAGTGAGGAATCTCCCTCTTCACTGACTGATTACTTTATTGTTTTTGTTTATTCATGTATGTCCGTTGAAATTGAACTTACACTGTGGGCTGCTGCGTATACTAAACGTGATCACAGAAGCAAGAGTTAAGTAAAAAGCACAGGTTCTGTGACAAGCTGATTTTTTGTGGAAAATTGCTTTTTTTTTTAACTTGGCATATAAATGCACCATTGATTATGCTGCATAAGTATGTTCAAGAGTTTCTTTATAAATGTTGAGACCTCCTCAGCGGAAAAACGTTGAACATTTAGAATTAGCTGTAATCTTCACGATTCACAGTTCTGTAAAGGGAAAACTAAAATCACCAATTTTAACTACCGCCTTTCAAGCCAACAGGGGGTGACTCTTTCTACCCACTCTACCTGTACTCTACAATAAAGGCAGGATATGGGTGTTTGCGGAGGCACCAGGTGCTCATGAATACTTATTAAATGTGTGAATCACTGTGTGTGTGTGTGTCCGTGAGGGAGTGTGTTTTGGTCTGGGGCTCAGCACTGAGCAAAGACGCTAGCTTTCAGCCTCTGTGGTCACGTTGCCTCTCATGAATATATATGAAGGCGTTCGCACCCAGATGGCGAGAACATGAGATATTAATATCATTAATTTGCTCTGTCTCTCTTTCTGTTCCCCTGTCTTCACACTTCTTCATTACTTCCTCCTGTGAAGCTGCCATGGAAGTCTCTGACTAGTATCATCGAGTACTACTACATGTGGAAGACCACAGACAGATATGTGCAACAGGTGAGACTCGTTCAGGATTTACACATAATGTAATATAAACATTTGTATCTTTTAGGTTAGGCTTAAAGGTGCCCCGTTAAATTTACATGAGAACAGAAAAAACAAAGATTTTTGAAAAGTTATCTGTACATATTGTCGTGTGTCAGGGTCTTAAATTATGTTTTTGATGTGCTGTTTGGTGTATATGTCCGCATATATGTAACATATTTCTGTAGTATGTTCTGCATGTTGAACATAATGGTCGAAACCGATAGCAGAGGCAAAGAAATGTTCAATACTAGTCTCTACAATGACTCAAACTTCAGAAATATTAGATCCTACAATTCCGATATTGCACCTCAGTAGCATCTTTTCAGTGTACCTTCCCAGCCTGTTAAATGCACTCATCTTTAAAACTCCATGCACCTCCCCAATCAGAAAGCATGTTTTCTGTCAAAAAGGTGTCAGAGCCACAACATATATTATAAAGCTGTTTTGACAAGAGGAGAGTGGATTTTCTGTGCAGAAAAAGCATGGGAAGTTGTCAAATAAGTTTAAGTAATAGTTGATAAGTAGGGACACAGCTTTCAGATATGTTTTGTTGCTGATGAATAAATCCACTGTAGGGCTGTACCCGAATATTTGGTCGTTGGAGTACTATTCGGTTTTCAATTTCGTTATTCTTTTTTAAATTGATTGAAATCTCCAATATCAACGTAAGAGCTTGTGCCTCTTTTTTGGGGGGTGCTAACACTTAACATAAACGTTATCGTTTACTTTCTCCGTCTTTATATGTAGATATTACTTTTGTCAATCTCCGCTCCGTTTCTCCATCACGTTGTTTCCATAGCAACAACAACTTCCTTTCAACAGCGCTAACTCTCCTTCAAAATAAAAGCATGTCCATACAAAATAGGAAGCCAAGCCAAATTACACTATAAATCAACAATACTGTAGAATAACAGAATGAATGCCTTGAATAAACCGAAATACACGTGGTAAAGCGTGCGCCGAATATTCACTCCTGATTACTACCGAATATCCGGAGCCCGAAAAATGGTATTCGGGACAGCCCTAATCCACTGTGTTTCTCTTTGAGCAGAAGAGACTGAAGGCAGCAGAGGCAGAGAGCAAACTGAAGCAGGTTTATATCCCCACATAGTAAGTCGCTTTCACATTTATAGAGGTTGGTTGCATATTACCGCAACCGTGGCTTTTAATGCATAATTAATGTCTTGATTTAAAGCACTGCAGAATGCGGCTGCTGTCTGTTTCCTTAAATCTCCTCCTGTTCTTCCCTGGCAGTAACAAGCCCAACCCCAACCAGATCTCACTGACCAATGGCAAGATGGCGACAGTGAATGGAGCGGGGCCCGGGGCCTTCCATGTAGCAGGCGGGGGCAGAGCCTGCGAGAGCTGCTATAGTGAGTTTTGGTTGTGTGAGTGTGTGTGTGTGTGTGAGAGTGAGTGTTTGAGCACGGCAGCTGTGAAATTGAATCCCATGGGCGCTGAGCACGGGTCAATAAGAAATAGAAGGGAAACTGAGGCAGTGATTATTCTTCACTTAAGAGATCTTCTGGCTCTGGAAGAGATACGTTCCCTTTATTTTCACCCTCACTGCCTTTCTACCGATGTAACCCGACAGCTGTTACTATGGGCAATATCTCCCTTCACTTTGACAGTTGTTTGGATTTTTCTTTTCTATAAATTGACAGAAAATAGTGAAAATGAGCAATATCCTCATACTTCGAAATGATCACATTTACAATGTTAATACCCAGAGGAAAAAGCATTTAAATAATGTTTGGCTTTTTCTTAAATGATGAATTATAGGAATCACTCCTAAAAATTAGCACACACTTTTCTGTGAAGTTCACGAAGAAGCTACAGTTTGTCTCAATAGAAGCAATACCAATGGCTACTGGCTGATAAAGCCGCTTTACAAAATAATCCTTACAATAGCTGTCTGGCAGAAGCTTTGATTGTGAAGCAGCAACCAGAAACGCTATCTTTTTGTATTTGTAAAACCAGCCGTTGACCAATTTGAGTCCAAGCATTGCAAAAAAGAATCACAAAAACACTTTAAATGTATGTTCTTGTCAGTGACCTATACTTAAAACATATTGAGGTTAAAACTCCTCCCCCATTGATACACCAAAACTGAAATCAGGATTTGATAACAGGGTGGATGATCAGTTTTCTGCAGCGATGCTTCTAACCTTCAATGATGTGTTTGTGTGCGTTAACAGCCATGCAGTCGGCCCAGTGGTACTCGTGGGGCCCTCCCAACATGCAGTGCCGCCTCTGCGTTTCCTGCTGGATGTACTGGAAGAAGTACGGAGGCCTGAAGATGCCAAGCAGAGCCGAGGTCCCAGAGGAGAGTACCTCCCCCAGTCCAGTACCTACTGTAAGCTCCGCCAGAATGCACACATGTAAAAAACATGCGATGTATGTGCGAAGATTCTGAAAACAATAGTGCATTCTTCATGCAACATTCAAAACCACCTTATCTCTTGCTAAATAGTTGTATCCCAAAGTAAGATGCTTTATAAAGCATAGCACTACACAACTGCAGCTCAGTAAAGTTTAACATCAATTATTCTGTCAAATCTAAACTTTCTGTATATTGCATATTAACTGTTAATACATCTACACACCTTTCTCTTCTTTAAGTGAGAGAGGGATTTAGTTTGTATGTCACCTGCCATGCTGTAGTTTACCCCTTTTTATGCTGACAGAAATACTTTCTTTTTATTTGAAAGAATTATGCTTTATTTCTGTTTTCCATTACAGCAATTTCTTCTATTGGCCAATTTTTTTTTATCTACGTTTATTTTTATTTTAGGGATTCATTTGCATACAATTCAATACAGAGACACTAACTCTGTAATTAAAACCATCAATTATGGCTCTGTTTAATCAAATGATTCCCATAATGTTTTTCTTAGCCTGCGGACACTACAACATAACCCCTGAAACCAGCTGGCATAAATGGATTGCAGCAGCATTATCAGCATGATTCAACAGCCTAATACAGTCTGATACAACAGCGCTGCATTCAATCCTTCCTTCATGAAGATTATAATGTTCAGTTTTCATTTTCGGTGTTTTTAATAAAATGCCGATTCAGCTGAATCATACGGTCATTTGGAGGCTGTAGTTTCGCTCAGTGACATAAGCAGGGTGGAAAATATTTTAGAATCGCCTCTGAGTAATAACAGCACAACAAACGGCAGCCTCCAAAAGAACCATAAAGCTGAGTTAACGCCTCCATTATCCTTCACGCAGGTAGGATTTATTGTTATAATGGACTATATTCCTTTTATTTTCATATTTAAATGCTAAGATATTAGTATTTTGTTTGTGTTAAACTTGTGTTGACTTCTCTCAGTGGTGTTGTATTTCAAACACTGTATTCACTTCCATGCCTTTGAAGCACATCGCTCATAGTAAGAAACTGTTTGAGATAAAAGGTTTTCAAACCACCTTTAATGTTTTAGCAGCCTCAGTGATCAGTTCAGCTTGATTCAGCGGCCTCTCCCTCTCTCCCCCTCCCAGGAGCCTCGCTCTCGGGGCCACACTGCTCGCCAGTCCAACCACATGATACCCATGCGAAACAGCGGCAGCCCCAAGTCCAACATGAAGACCAAGCAGGCCTTCCTGCTGCAGGCCACCCGCCTCACCAAGCTGGCCCGGCACATGTGCCGTGATGTCATCAGGCTGCGCCGCGCAGCGCGCCGGCCCTTTATCCCCATTAACTGTGGGGCCATAAAGGCAGAGTGTAAGAGCTCTTTAAATTCCTCCTAACTTCTGCCACATGGACACACACACCTGCAGACAAAACACAACACATGCAGACATACAGAAACACACACACACACACACACACACACACTCACACCAACCTTCCTCACCCGATTGCCCCACCATCAACCCCCCCATCTGCCCCTCCTGTCTGTCTCTTTCTGTTTTTATTATTATTGTTATTATTATTATTTTGGTTTTTGTATTCTCCCACTCCCTGTTTCCAATAAAGACTGCCTGTCCTCATAACTATGAGTTTGATCATCTTTTCATTCATATATTTTTATTTTCTTATCTGTTGTGGTTCTTGGTCACTGAACTGAAAGCCATTGTTGGAATGATACACACAGATGTAGAGGTTAAACAGGGCTACTCTCCCCGATCACAGCTGCAGACCCTTTGAAAACACGCATAGTAACTGAATTTGCTTTTATTAACTAATAGATTGTAATCGATAGAACTCATATTCTAGTCTGAGCCGCGTACCTGCTGAAGTTAGATGTAGAGAAAATGTATTTTCTAAGAGAAGCTCTATTTTGCACGGCGCCCTGGTGCAGGCGTGCCCACTCTGTCACGGCAGAACAAGTCACTGAATGTTTATTGTAAATACTGAACCTCAGCTGCAGTGTGTTTCCCATCACCACCTTTGTTCCTCTTTGCGCACTCATTTTTCTTCATGCTGCTAATCATGTGTGTAAAATGAATTGTGTTTGGGTTGAAAATGAGCTTTAGATGAATTTGCACTGATAAAACTTGAAAGACGAGAGCTTGAAGCTTTAGGACTTTTTTTTGTTTTCGGTACAATAATAAGAAGCTGCTCTTGATCAGTCTCACCCATTCGGAGTCATCAACTGGATCATATCCTCCCTCGCCATGCCATCCACTCAGCTGTTCTCCTGTGTTCAAATCATGCAACAATCACATGAATCATGTTGCCTTTTCTCGCTTGTGAATCCTGCAGACATGATTTGCCATTTCTCCCCATCCACAGTTTTCTAACAGCTGTTGCAATATCCTCATCTCATCTTCGACCTCTTATTTTTTGCTCTTTTTTTCTTTTTATTCCATCACTGTGTGAATGTGAGAGTCGACCTCCAATAAAATCCCACCTGAAAGCATCTCTTCTGAGTCCTTGTGCTTCATGTGTCCCGTGTTATCTGTCCATCAACTCCACCACACTCCGAGGAACCATAAAGACACCCCTCCCCCCCCCCCCCCCCCCCCCCCACTACAGCATGGACTCAACCTCTGCCTGACCTTCATATTTTAATGTATGTGTGCTTACAATATTAATGTTTGTGTGTGCATGTAAGCATGTATTTAGATATGTGAATGTGCATGTGGGTATATGATTTTGCGTGGTCATACCATCCGTGAAATAAGTCACTACATTCACACCGTAGAGGGATTTGAAACATGCATAATTCATTTCACAATGAAAGGAGGTTATTTCCGTTTTCATACACAATTCTATTTTCTGTCACAAGTCTTACACTTGTAGAACGAAAGAGCAGATATAGTCTGAGAGACTGTCTGCAGTGGTTTGTATAATGTGTGTGTGTGTGTGTTTGGTTTAGATATGTTAAGGGTCTCAGAAGGGCAGGGGACTCGCCTTCCCAAAACCAGAGCCCCCCAGAGGAGCACTCTTACCAGTGTGGTGCAGTTTCTAGGTAAATCATACATAATCTACTGAAATGATAACTAGAATATTCAGATGGTCTATAGGAGCCAGTTGATGCAGCTCCAGTGTCTCTTCCAGAGTCCCGCCCAGCAGCCCAAGCCCCTCGCTCCCACCGCACCCCGGGCCTGCAGACGCCCCCCCCTCGACGCCTCCTCTCCTCTCTCCCACACGGCCCCCACGGCATGCTGGGAAAACGCAGCTACCATCACCACAGCAGGGCTGAGCCAGACAGACGCTCAGGTACACACACAGATGCTCTTTTCTTTCAGCTCAATTCCACAAAAGTTATCAAGAGTTATTTTTCAATAAGAGTGTGATTGCTTAATTTAATCCTGCCTCGACGCAAAAAGTCATTACTTGTTAAATATCTGTTAACCCCCCCAAAAAATAAGAAGTTGGAAAATGATGTGAATGAACATTGGGGACCAGACTGTTCTAATCCAATGTCCTAATCCTTTTGCTTGATCAAATCAAATTAGTGGAAATACACCCGGAGTTGATAACCTTTTCTACCATTTCTTATCTAAACTAGCTCGTTGGAGAGAATGACAACTAATTCTAATGAAAACGAATCAGCAGATGGGGGTCAATTGGATAAATTGGATGATTCAACTTCAGTCTGACACTTTGTTATTTATTGGTAACTTCTCTATTTTTACTGAAATTGAAACAGTCATTTGTTGCACCACTTGAAGGAAAAGTAATCAATACTTTTCATAAGTGACAGATTCCCTCATGCACCTTTCTTTTGTTTTTGCAGATAACCCTGGTACAACAGGTGGACCCCCCCTGGTGGGTGTCTTATACTCTGCTTTTAAACAAACCCGGTACAACTGAGTCCCAGCTTATTCTATTAACATTGTTTTGAATTGTCTTTTGGCAGCATAACGGCCGCAGCAGCAGCAGTGGAAACAGCCGGGGAGGAGTGACGATCCGTAAGAGGCGCCCCAACTGGATCGATGCCCCTGATGACAGCTTCTTTCTTGTTACCCGGGAGACCAGGTAAGCAAAGGTGACACTTTTATAACCTCTGATTGGCTGACTGTGTGTATGTGTGTGTGTGTCAAGGTAAAAAGCCAGTTATGCTGAGAACAACAGAAAATAAGAAGAATTGAGAGGTGGTGACCTCAGACAGTTGAGTAGTGCTCACAGAAACACACAGTTAGAGTCATTCATATGAAATAGAGTGGGGAGCCTGCAGCGTTAAAATAGATTAAAAAATATCAATAAAAGTGCTTATTTTTTTCCAAAATTATAATGGTAAAAGCACCTAGGTCGATTGATTTAATTACGTCTTTTTTATCTGAAGACATTTTTTTATCCAAGAGGAGAAGCTTACCAGGGTCATATTGGCTTTTTTTGTTTTTTAAACTTTGAGCGTATTTTATAGTCTATATTTGTTTCTATTATGATTTTAAGTACTTTTATGCCAATAGACAAAATCTCCAGGGTATAGGATAGTGTTTAGAGGATAATTGAACACCTGACCATACATCAAACATACATTTTCTTTGACAATGTTATACATGGTGATGGTGGACCTTGAATCGTGTCCTCTATATTGTAACACTCTCCTCTACAGCCTCGCATGAACAACTTTTGGATAGATTGCCATCAAATTTGGTTCGGATACTCTTGGCCACCATTGATAGATGAAGCCTAAAAATTAAAATAAAAGGTATTTATGTCATTTTGAGGATGTTTGTATGCTGATAAATGCCTTTAATTGAGTGTAAAGTGCTGCATTTGTAGAGATATTTGCTTTTTTTCAAGACTCAAGTTGAATAAAAATGTGGGCAGAAATGTAAGATTTACGATACACTCTTACTGAATAATGAAAATGTAATAAAACCAACTCCTCCATAAATAGCTGGTATTGATGTACAAAAAATAACTTGCTTGAACTCTAATACAGGCAGACATGTATATTGATAACGTCTCAAAAAAGCCAAACCGCAGAAGGACTCATTTGATGGTTTGTTTCTCTTTGTGTACTCGGCACACATTATGTTGTAATTGAATAAACATGCCATTACGTTTTACACATAGAAAATCAGTTTCTATTTGTTTATCTCAACATACATCGACACACACACACTCTCTCTCACCTGCTCATACACACATGCACATACTGATCAATGTTGCATGTGTGTATGTGAGGGAGAAAGATGTTCTTTCATTAAGCCTGTGTGTGAGCCATGGCACCCGGCCCCCATCGCCCCCCCACCGATCAGCGCGGCTAACTGGTGCAGATGGGCCAACGAGGAGCCAGGAGTGGAAATATCATTACACCATTAACCGGGGCTGCTCTCGTATGGATCACTCACTTACCACCAATATCAACATGGCTGTGTGTGTATGTGTGAGAGACATGTCATTCTGAAGGCTGTCCCTTTATTATATTACACTGCCGCTAACCGCTCTCCCTGTAGAGACAATAAATGCTTTTCTGAATAAAAGGTATTAATAGATTCTCCTCTGAAAGGCGGCTGCTAATGAAATATGAACGGAAGCTTAATTTCCTCCTCCCCTTTCTTTTCCTCAGCGTGAGGAAGAGCGCAGAGTGTCACAGGAGGAAGGAGTGAGAGATCACTCCCACATGTTCAGGGAGGAGACAAATAGAGACAGGGAAATGTTTCTTTGCAAGGGTTTGACAAAGCACACAGATAATCAATCAATCAATCAATCAATGTTTATTTATATAGCCCAATATCACAAATGTTACATTTGTCTCAGTGGACTTTACAGTTTGTACAAAATATCAGTATGACAATATGTTATAATAAAACAATAGATACCTGATAATGTTTGGCCAATCAGTATATTACTCGATGAGATATTTTACTGAATAATAGACGGCTTTGACCAGTCAGAGGATCTCATTGGGATTCAACCTATAGCAGACTTTGACAATCCGGATACAATTTCATGGCGGTCCATCTAGCTGCCAAGATATTGCACTGTGAACCACAAAATGTGAAAGTCATGATGGATCAACAAAGGATCAGCAAAGACAGGAGTCAACCTTAGGGGACCAGAAATGTTAATAGAATATATCATGGCAATCAATCCAATATCCAACAAGAAAGGCACTAGATGAAAGAACTGTGAATCAAACAAAGATTTATTCTTGGGCCATTTCATATAAAGATATAACTCACTGGATATGTGACGATTTCAACCTGCTGGTGGCCCTTGATGTAAATTCAGGATCAACAAGGTCAAATCAAGGTCAAATCTTCATGGTATATAATCTGTATACAAATTGGCACATTTCATTTCCCCTTCTTAATGAGATCCTAATTATCTCACAAATTGTCTTGGGACCCCTTGGAGGCGAGTTAGCAACCACTGAATTACATAATCAAACTCAAATATATCAGTAACAGGAGACATTTGTCCTTAACATTTGTACTTTTGATACTAAAAGTACCAATCTGAGAATTTCCCCACAGTAAAGTTTAATTTGGAAAAATAAATATTTTAGCTAAGCTCTAAGAACGAGGAATATTAGAGCCCAGAACGAGAGTAAGCGAAAGAGAAATGTAAATGAGACAGCTTGGTATATTTGAGCATGGATTTACATGTTTGCCTTTCTCCTCTCAATGGCCAGCTGAACAGACACGCAGCAGAGCTTTAGATAATGAGCCAGCAGAGCTCTGTTCTTCCTCGCTTTGTATTCGGCTCAAACTCTAGCTCTAAGTGACATTAAGCAGACCATGCTGTGCATTAAATGGGTCCATTATACTTGAATGATGTGTAAAATGCACAACTGTTTCATACAATGTCAGGCCTTTTGACTATACCTGGTTTTACAGGTATGCTTGCAGAGAATTCCAGAGTGCTCTAGCGCACATTTGTCTTACAGCTGGGGATCTGGAGGAAACTGATGTGTTTTCTGGTTCAGGACATAGAAAGAGGAAGAAATTCTGAAAGTGTTTTTTCTCCTCTGCCTGAAGGAGAGCATGAATAAACTATATGTTTTCGTTATGTATCTTAATTTTGTCTGTGTATGAATCAATCCCATTAGTTGTGTGTCCAACACTAGAGAGTGCACCCCGCGGCTATGCAGTGCTGTTGTTGCATGTGGGCTGTTGACAGAGCCTTTCCGTCACAGCACAAAGCCCACTGAGTCTTGATAATGCAGCGAGTTCATTTTAAGTCTGGAAATCCTGCAGAGAAGTAACCCCTTCGCTTGAATCATAACAGAGTATAATTCTACCACAGAAAACAAGATAGAGTGGCTGTTTGAATGAATTTCTCAACAGCCTGGAACCTCAACTTGTTGCCCTTTAACTCAACTTTAGTCATCATTTAAACCACAGTAGTCTTCTCTCTTTAGTTTCCTGTTGGATATGCAGAAAACAGCAACAGAGAGGAGACATCGCTAAAGAGTCAATGGTCTACTAATCTCAAAATGTGTACAAGCAAACTGAGTGATTAATTACCTCAGTCCAGTAGCACATCATTGTCAAAGTACCTGTAAACCAAAAGCATACGTGACAAATCAGCTGTCGCATAAAGCCCACAGCCCATGCCAGATTCATAATTGTTTCTAGTGGAAGCAGCCCTTTTTACCGCAGGCTGTTCTCAAAGCATCAAGCCTTTGGTCAGCCTAGTATAAATAATTTATTAGACAAACATTATCCGCAGGCTCAGCTGCTTTAACATAAACATGCAGTCATGAATTATTAGATTTACTGCAAGGGTAGATGCATGGCACAACACATTGCAAACATACACAAAATGCAATGATTTGCTACTAATGGCCAGTATTTTTATTAAATATCAGTCTCTCAAACATCACCTTCAAATTATATTTTCTGAAGAATTACATTACATTATTATTATAATATATATATATATATATATATATATATATTATAATTATTTTTTCCCTTTTGGATTGTAGAAAATAACGTGTATCTAGAAGACTTCCTGGTTAACATATAAAGAAATAAAGTCATTTGTAAATACAAAATCATTTCTAAAAGCACACATTTCCTGAAAGCATAACACAGGCATGCAATCATAGTCCGTATAATGTTAAAACATTTTTGACATTTTATGAAATCTGCTTATGCTTCTTGTTGAGAGTTAAAAAGACCGCTCTCTCCTATCTGTACGCTAAATATGAAGCCACCGCCAAAAGCTGGTTAGCTTATCTTAGCACAAAGACTGTAAACGGCTAGCCTTGCATTGCCTAAAAGCTAAAGAACCATCTGAATTGCACATTTTGATTGACAGTACAAAATCACCACAAGGCCTATTTACATTAAAGGTCCCATGTCATGGCCATTTCTACTGATCATATTTCCATTGTTGAGGTCTACTAGAATAGATTTATATTGTACAATTTTCCAAACCCACATTGGTTTCTCATACAGCATCTCTGTATAGTATGTGTATTCACTCTCTGTCCTAAACGGCTTGTTGGAGCTCCTGCCCCCCCCCCCCCCCTCCCTGTGAGCCCAGTGTGCTCTGATTGGTCGGGACGTTGCGAGGCTCGCTGCTGCGAGGAGCGGACAGGTTCCCGGGTCGGCGATACAGCGAGACACAGCGAAACTCATCCTGAGCACACACAAACACTCACAGCCGAAGTAAAAACAATGTGTGGCTTGATATTGAGTAAGAAAAAGGTTTATAACGCTGTGAGAATGGGTCTGCGGAGAGCATTTCTCCGTGATCCCAACTCGCCTATTACCAGCGTTCAGGGAGCTCTACGCAAGTCAATGGACTCCCTGTTAGTTAGCCAAGCGATCCTGGTGTGTGAGGTGCTCCGCGGATTGGTCCATTTGGGCACGTCACAGAACCCAGGAAGCAAACAATGGAAAATGAGAAATATCCAACGAGGCGTTCTGGGGCAGCATATAGGTATTTTCTGTGTTAGAGTTTTACTCGCTACAGGGTGTACTTTGAGGGTTTGTGACTCTGCAGACCGTTGACATGCATAAAAACCTTCATAACACACAAGGGGACGGGTAATAACCGGAAAAGCATGACATGGGACCTTTAAATTCTACTTTATTGTCATTGCACAGAATTTTCCCGGAACACTTTACAAACCTGTCATCAATGTTGGTTTAAAAAAGTATTCCTGGCTTTCGAAACATTAGGCTACTTGGGCAAACGTGTGAGATTATTTGTATAATACTAGTTCTACTGTCTCCAAGGTCAAGAAGGAGCTTTCACATCTGTATATCTTCATGTGCACTTATGCCCTGTGTCGTCTCCCTCCCTCCAGGAGGGCCAGGCGGCTGCTGTCCCGCACCCAGCTGAGGCACGCTTGTCGGCAGCCATGCGAGCAGATCACCTTGCGCAGGGTCACCCAGGGCCTGCCGCAGGGGCTGGTCCTCGCCCCTCCGCACCCCCACCCCAGCCTGAGGATGCGAGGCCCTATCGTCATCCACGACTGACCCTACACTGACCCTCTGACCCCCCTGCTGCATACATACTAACAGATTCTCACCTCATATTCTATCATTAAATTCCTTTATTCCTTTAAAACGCCGTAATAATCCTGAACTCTAAAATAAGATGGCAACAGAAGGATGTAATGAGCCGTGATGCAATAGAAACACCTGACCTGACTGCAAGTGCTGCCTGAATTTATTCCTGGGAATGTGTTTTCAGGTGTAAATATTTGGGTGCATGCAAGTGTGTGGCAGAGAGAGAGAGAGTGTGTGTGCGTGTGTGTGTGTGTGAGCGAGGGGATGTTGAGCCATGTGCTGTTCTTAGTTTTTTATGGTTGGACATAACGACAGATCTTTTATGTGACTTCTTTGTGTTGATCGTGAATTGTTGTGAAGTTTTATCAGTTTGTATAAAGTTATTTTGGGTGGGGGCATGGGGTTGGATTATGATTAGGGTTGGGGTGGGGGGTGGGTTTGCATTTGTGGGGTTCTTTCAATTTTGGAGAAGAGGCAAGTGTCCAACGCTGACGTTAAAAAGAGAATGCACTAAGAAGACTGAACGAGCGGCCTTTCTTTTAAAAAATGGCTGCTTTTAATTATGTTTTACCTGCAGTTTTTCACCCTCTTTTTAAATCAAGGAGCTGGAGCTGGTGTTCAATAATAATGACCTGGTGACATTACTTTACAAATCTGCAGGCTTGAAAATATAACAAGGCAAAGATATAGAGAGCTTACATGATACGCCTCTGTGATGAATCACTGTATAATATATGGTATATCTCATTAAAGTACTGTAAATCTACTCATCGTATTTCTATGGCCGACTGTACCTACCTAGCCCTAACATGGGTACTAGAGCACTTCCTTTGCAACAGAAAAGGGCATGGATCTGTCACACTTTCCTCAAGGCTGGGATGCACCGGCATCGTTTTGAGGCTTTTCCATGAGCTCTTTGCTAATATTCCCTCATTGTTCTTTAAAGCCAATTGTCAAGTCCATCCAGTTCCTTCTGCATGTTGCCAGAGGGCGTTGCCTCAAACATGCCAGGTTAACAAACCCAGCCTTCAGGTGTGTTTAATTATGAGTTTTTAAACTGGCATTGCCGACGCATGTCTTTGAGGTGAGAGCCTCCGCTGATGATTTCCTCTCTTTCATTCAGAATGTTTATGTTAGTGTTTCCTGTGTGTCATGTGTTGAATTATGAATATGATGAGAATAATAATAATAAAACAACACAATACAAGATGATGGTGTCGAGTCTCAGTGTGTCATTTTGTGGTGCTACATCCTGACAGCCAGCATTATAAATAATATACACTGTGGCCTGTGTGTGGACATCAGAAAATACCCTCAAAAGATATGATGATTTGAAACAGTGATGAAGAGTGATGAGTGCTCTCAGGATATAAATCATGTTCTTGGAAGCTTAGTCTGCCTCAAGGTAATTCAGTGTTTTAGGTGTGTGTGTGTGTGAAATGTTTTTCATTCATAGCTTTAAAATGGGATAAAATGTGAGTCAACTGCTGTATTTATTTGTTTTCATCATATTTTCTATACAGAAATTCCCTTGCCCCTGAATGTGAAAATCATAATAAAAAAGGCAGAGTGTGAATGAAAATATTTAGATCGAACCTGACACTTTGTAAATGGATTTGTCTTTCAGCTAGTCATGTGGGACTTCAGGGGATTAGAAAAGCCTCAGCAGACATGTTCATCATGTCATTCTTTCTACATAGCCTATGTGTTACCGCTGCACATTGGAGTTTGTTTTACTTTTACTGTTACTATAGTGCCCAAATGTATCTGGACATCTGAACGTTATTTAATCCAAGAACATTTAAATTCAAAGAGCATAATGGACCTTGCTGCTGTGTTTTCTTGACATTTTACATTTTCATTCAGTTTAGACTTTACTCCTGCTTTTTTTTTTTTTACCTCAAATGGCTAACCCCATTAATAAAGATGACGTATGGGCTTGTCTGCTTAAAGGTTCCTCAGTATGATCCTGTACAGAGAAAGCTAAAACATATACGCCATAGATACTCATTTGAAGTTGAAATTCGGAGCTTTGTGAGAGGTGCCTGAACGCAGCATTCTGTGCTGGACTCTCAGTGACCACAGTCACCACATGCACCCTGGGAAGTTCTCACACGCTCTCTTCATTACTTGCACCACTTTTCAATACGACTATCAGCCCAAATAAAAAACAGTTTATCAAAATCTTATATGTTTGTTTGTCACAGGCACTCGTGTCATTCTTGAATCGAATTATTAGCCGATTACCGCCGAGGCTCCAGTGGCGCAATCGGTTAGCGCGCGGTACTTATATGACAGTATTCTGCAGAGCAATGCCGAGGTTGTGAGTTCGAGCCTCACCTGGAGCACAGTTTTTGGATTGACCCTCATCTGGTTAAAATGGGACGTCGCATATAAAATACGTCACACAGCGATCCCCCACAACAACTGGGGTACTTCGAAGTAGTGCTATTTCTCCAAATACACACAAGAAAAGCTTCTTAGTTCTTGACAACAGGTGTGTTTACATGAAGTAACTGTGGACGTGTTGAATTACTGAACCGTTTGGACGTTACGTCGTACAAAGGGCTGATCTGACATGTTATTTAATCAGAACCTGAAGTTATAAATGATAAGATAAGATAAAAGAGGTAGGGTATATGTAACTACAAATAAAATGAAGTGAAAATAGAAAATAGGCTACATAACGAGATTACAAAGCAAAAGTGACAGTGTCGTAAACAATTATTAAGTCATTCAACTTGAACTCGTGTTTGTCTCTATTATTATGATTACTACTACATATACATAATGTAAAAGAACACAGATTAACACAGTATTACACAATACAATAGGCTATAATATGGTATGGGATATAATATATATATATATTATGTTAACATGTAGTTATATAATATAACATAACAAAACGTTAAACATAACACAATTATATAACAATATATATTATAATACCCATATATAAAATATATTAAGCTACATTTAATCAATGGATGATGGACCAAGTACTTATTATTCTCCTTCTTATTTTTATTTTATTTATTGTAATTATTATTAGTTTACAAACGATCTTTAATGATATAAAAAGGTACTCATGTCAACTGTACTCTACCCCGATCTTCTCAGTTGTGCTGAACAATAGCTCCCCCTGCTGGCCGTCAGTCAAAACTGCGACTATTGTAAACGTCTTCATTCTTACCACTAGAAGGCGGTATAACTGCGCTGAACAGAGTCCCGTAGCTCTAAATAAGTATTTCTATCTAGAGGTGCGTGCATTTATGTTCCTCATAAACATTTGGAAGGGTGACTGTGCACAACCATTTTTGAATAGTCCACCTCCTGTCATTCTTACAATCATTTGTATTCATAAATCTATTTATTGACTATCTATGTGTGTCCTCAGAGTCAAAACTAAAGATGCAGCGTTTAGTTTCTATGCACCATATATTTGCAACAAATCCCAGAAAAAATGCAGGTTGGCTGCAACTATAGCTTTTCTGTCTGCTGCTGCCTTTTATTGAATCAAATAAAAATGAATTTCTCACACTGCACTCTTACTGTTATTCTGTATTTAGTTTGTTTTAAATGTCCATTTTCTGTGGCCTTTGGCGACAGTTTTCAACTGCATTGAATATCATTTTGTGGTGTAGGCCTACCTTATTTTTATTTTTGTATTTCATTGTTTTATAAAGGCAATTTGTATTTCCTTATTGCTGATATGTGCTATAAACAAACTTGCTTTGCCTTGACAAGTGGCATTTTAAATTGAGCCATTCAGAAATATTTTATCCTGGCAATCCTTTGAAGAACCTCTACATTGTGCTCATTTTATCATTGCATCTTAACATCTGTTAACTCAAACCATCAATCTTTTTTAAACATGATGTATTTCACTGTACATGACTGTAACATGCTGTATATATATAGGCCTATCTGTGTATTTGGACGTGTGTTGTGTGTGCTCTGTGTGAGTGTGTGTGTGCAGGTCTGTCACTCTAAGCCCTCGAAAGCTGGGAATGAACAAGCAGAAGATTGGAGTAATGATGTGACCCAGATGTCCCGGGTGCAGATCTCCAGGCTGAAAATGAGAGTGCAGATCAGGGTCTTGTACCTCCCCCCCACCACCCTTCTATCCAGCCTGGGACACAATCACAAAGTATTTAACAGCAGGGAATATGTGTGTATGTTTGCAAGAAAGTGCTTATCATTTGAGGGAATGTTGTAGTGTGTGTGTGTGTGTGTGTGTGTGTGTGTGTGTGTGTGTGTGTGTGTGTGTGTGTGTGTGTGTGTGTGTGTTTAAACTCTTCCAGATCCATGTAAACACGAGGGATCAGATTTTGGAATGTGTGCCACTTGTTCTTGGTGTTCCGGATTAGACAAAACTGTTTTTTAATTTACTCTCCTCAGCTGCCTCCATAAGAAGCTAAAGCCTTGCATCACCCCACCAGAGACCCCCACGACCCCAACCCACAGCTCCTCCTCCTCCCCCCTCCTCACCCTGAGGTGACCAGGTGGCTGAACAATCACATGCAACACCCTGACAGTACAGGCTCAGTGGACCACTTTATTCAATGAGGAGTGCGGCAGTTGGAGTGACGCATCTGTACGTGTGGAAATATGTGTGTGTGTGTGTGTGTCAGTTTGAGGGATTGAGGGGAAAGGGGACAAAAGACTGAGAGTTTAATATTAGGGATAAGCTGCGATTGAACATCCTGATCAGAGCAGAATGATCAAATTCTGCCAGTGATAATCCCCCATCTTGGAAAATTAAATACCACTCGGCTGCTCACTCACACTCGCTTACACACACACACACATACACACAGTATTTAAGCAGGGTATTAATCTGACCTGTCTCTCATAACCCTGCTTGGTTCCTTGGGGAACTGTTCTGAGATCTAATGAGTTTTTCATTAACAAGACACAAATCTAATCCTGAGGGAAGACCACAAAATGACAACGGATAAACCCAGCTTTCCCCTAAAAGACACACACACACACACACACACACACACACACACACACACACACACACACACACACACACACACACACACACACACCACACACACACACACACACACACACACACACACACACACACACACACACACACACACACACACACACACACCACACACACACACAGATCTAACTAGACATCTTTATACACATATTTACACTCATGTTTATGCTTTAATCCCCTAATCCCAGTTTTTTTCCCTCCAACCTACATTTTTTTTCTTTGCACGTCTTTGTTATTCTAATGAATGACATATCTTTATTCATAATGTGTGGAGAAGAAAGAGATCTACCAACGTATTCATTATTTCTGCAGATTTAAATACAAAAGCCCTTGTACTGTAGATTAAAGGGTTCATAACACTTGCAAAGAATCTGCCTGATTGTCTAAGGGTTTATCTTTTTGGAAAGGCCTTATTTCAGAGGGCATAGCCTCCATGGCTGCATCACACTGTTGCTCCTGATTTCCATCCAAGAACCAAGTGTGTGTAAAAATGTAGCGACCTGGTGCAAAACCGTAAGCGTGAGAAAGCTAAAAAATAGCGCAGACAGTTGTAAAAAAAAAACTAAGCAAAGAGGGAATATGTGGCTTCCTTCAACTGCTGGTGAGCGCCAGAAACATTGTCTTTGTGCTCTAAGATTGTAGAATAATTGCCCATAGAGTTTTGTTTTCACCTCACATCTTACTGCACAAAAACCTCTACCTTTAACTTTTCATCACAAAACAATATTTTTTAGTTGCCCATGTTTTGTACTGAAGATTAATCTTGGAGAGTTTTTCCTCATCCAAGCAGCAAGGTGCTCCAACTGTGAGTTATGCTAAATGTTTTATGGAGAAAATGAGTTTTTTTTACCAGGTACTCCTGAAGGAGATCCTTACATTCCCTAATTCCAACATTGGATAACTTTTTGACGCTGTGAGATGTCTCAATTAATATCGCTCAAGATGAGACCAGACAGTGCTCATTCAAAACAAGTACTAATTATGTCCGGTAATGCAGCCCTTTGATATGTTGGTTATTGAATCCTTTATTTCCATGAAAAACGTCCTTATTGTTCCCAAAGTTATTGTATGCTATATGGTGCAATGGAAGAGGAAACAAGTGCATTGAACTTATATTTCTCTGGTTCAAACTGAAGTTGTATCTGTTGCATGCCCTATCCCCCCATATACTCCCATTTTCTATAGTTTATGCTGAAATACTAGCTTGACCCAGATGGAAGTTCCATATTGTGCCCGTTGGTAATCAAGCCTTGGGTTCTGTACGTTTTCAGATGTGTGTGGTGGCATGCAGGGGTGCATACCGGTTCCCGGTATTACCGAAATACCGGTTACTGGCGGCTACGGTATATCGTACCGAAATCAGATCCGGTTTTCGATACCCTTAAAAAATTTTTTTTTTTAAATTTTTTTTATAAAAGTGAGGCGTATAATATCCTTAAACTCGCGCCCAAACCGTCGGGAATTACGATGTCAATTTTCGCCGTGAAACTCCGCAAATGAGTCACTTTAGAAAATCTAAAGTGTGGCTGCGACTGCCAGTCTGATGGTGGGGGTCTGTAACCACTGCAAGAAGTTTATTTCTGGGAAAGGTGGCAACACATCCAACCTCCAAACCAATGCTATCTCGTATGGCAACCAAGTACCTTTGTGTTCAGGGAAGCAGCGTGCCAAGCGAGAGAGTGTTCAGTTCAGCAGGTGATATCCTACGCTGTGAAAGGGCCCGTTTGGATCCAGAGAGCAGATATGCTCATCTTCTTGAAGATGAATGCACAAAACTGAACTGTGATGGGATTTGTTTTCTTTCATCAGGCAAATGTTGATTTTAATGATGCTATTTGTTTTATGTGCAATGCTGAGATCTCATGATCCTTTATGTGTTCTCTGGTCAGTCGAATCTCAGGTTGAATATTGATTATACTGGTGCTATTTTCTTTTTCCATTGACAAGATGTACTATTCACACCTGATGGTTGTTATAAATGAATATTGCAGAATCTCTGTTTTCCTTCATAGATAACGTGTTTTATTGTTTGTTCAGTACTAAAAGGTCCAAGTCCCACAATTGAATTTAATATTCATTTGACATGTTAACTATATCATAAAGCGCTTCATGGGAGTAATTGCAGGATGATTACATTTTCTCTTATGCAACATGAAAGTATCACGATATGTATCGGTTGAGTATCGGTATCGTTCAGTGGTATCGGTTTACTTTCACAACTATTCACGCAATTATTTGTTGGTGATTATCTTATTGATATGTCGATTTAATCTTTGCAGCTCTACAGTCAATCATAGGTGTTTGAACCTATTGAGCTGCTAAACAAAAAGACAGCAGTACTTTACAGTAAAAACAACTCAAGAAATATGCCACATCCTAATTTAATTCCTAAAGATTTATTTAAATGAGCTTCACAATAGATCCCTGAACGGGGTTACATCATGTAGTTAATTTATGGAAATGTGTTGGGACTTGAAGATAAAATTGATCCTTCAATTTCTAAACATCCTCGTCATCATAATTTATATTTAATGAGATTTCTTCCCTTGTGAGGTAAAAAAAAATCATATTTGATTAATCATTCAAACGTGCCTTGACAATATTTGGGTTACAGGGAAGGGAGTGTGGGAAACATACATACAACATTCTTTAAATAGTATCATTTCTAAAGAAATTACAGTACAATTGAACAATACTTGCTTCTGTTGGAGCCTCCCACTGGAGCCCTTCATGCACCCCTGCTGTACTTTCATTAGGGTTGCGATTGTTTTTTTTTCCGGGGCACACGTGAGCGTGGTGACTTCAAAACATGTAGAGCATGATTGTGATAAAGTATTTTAATCTCAACCGTGCAACCTTTGATTTTATTTCTATTTGTATTCTCTAGATACCGGTTGCAGTTGATCTACTTCCACCACAGCGTTGAATGTTTTTATTTCAAGACTGACCCCGCCTATCTAGACTTGCTTCGGCGTAAACCAAAATACGTTTCGAGTGTCTTCTACATATCGAGTGCATCATAGAATTTCGGTAATAGACCAATGAGAATCTAGTATGGCACAGGGGCAGAACTAATTGACAGAAGAAGCAGCCAATTAACAGACCGTTTTCGCCCTGACGTTTAACCAATCACCAAGCATATGCCAAAAATAACACCTCCTCTTGTTCAGGCAACCCAAAGTCGAAGGATAGCTCTGGCCTTTCAATTGAAGAAAGTGCTAGATTTGTCGTGTTGAATAATATAACCATTTTCAGTGTCCATATTTGTTTTGGAGTCGATCGGAATAGTCTTCATTTTATGTGAGAGACAGAACTGGCGTCAACATGGCGTAAAAATCAACGCTGTCCAAGCAGGGAACCACCGAGAAAGGAATTATCGCCGCTCATCTGAGGCCAATCTCGATTATTTTTGTCAAATAAGGAAACATAACATAGCTAGCTAGCGAACGTTAGCTTCGTAGATAGCTAGGTAACCGACATATCTTCACACAAAAGCAGAATCCAGCAGATAATCAAGATTGGATCTACATTCGCAACAGCAGGAAAACGTAAGTAGCATGCTAGTATGTGCGCTAACGTCATTAGCTTGAGTTTGACAAGCTGGGGAATTGCGTTGGCACCAACGACAGCTAACTGTTAAGTTAACATTAGCAAGTCAGCTAACGTTAGCTCATATCAACACACTAGCAAACTAGGCCTTTCCGTAGAGGGAGCAGTGTTAGGTGGAATTGAGTTCAGCATGTGGTTAGTGGATTTGTATTTAAGACAGAAACGCATTTCCAAAAACAAATCAAACGGTTCATAGCAACATATATCGTGGTGTGCAATAACGTGTTGTGTTGAATCAAACAATTGTCCAAAATAAAACCTGACTTATCATCTGAAGTTACAAAGTAATTTAGATAACGTTAGCGCCAAGGCTTGTGGAGGCAATTTTGAATGAAGCACATTTAGAGTAAACTATTTTTAACAGTTAAACGACATGTTGGCCTCCAGTGTTTAGTCTGGTCCCACAACGAGCTAATCTAGCATGGTGTAGGCTACACTAGCTATAACCAGCTAATGACAGTTTAGCGGACTTTGTCATATGGGTGTCAATGGTTAGCTATGTGATGTTAGCTTGGCCGTGTATGGTATTTCTGACGATATAATAGTATATTTAAACAAGCGCACAGCCACAAACTGATGTGAGAACTATTTATTCATTATGTACCCAAATAGCGAGTACTAACGTCCACAATTTAGCGTTAAAATGTATGAACAGAATGCATTCAATGCCAGTTGGATAGCTACACTTACTGTATGTTCTGTTGTGTATGCATGACCTTAGAGGGTAATTATAACCGCAAGCCCCCTTGTACGTCTAGTATCTTTGTTGAAGCCCGTGAAATCAGTCCGTACACATTCAATAACATCTAAGGCAGATAACAAGTCATTTAGTCACAAAACTGCTGGTAAGGTGTTTACAACCAGTCATGTTTATGCGGCATGCAGCCACTGCTTCCTCCCACACTTGAGCCCTTCTCTACTGCTCATTATTTACCTATAATATAGAATATTAATAGTTTACTTAGGTAAATAACAGTTCAGTTGGTATTGTGAAGCCGGAAAACTGTCTATAACAGTCGACATTAATAACAGGAGAATGAAACTAAACATACATACATATATAATTAGCTACTACTATTTATAGTTTCTACTATGTTTAAACTGTTACCATTGTTTAGCATTTTAACTGGTCAAGAATAGCTGTACTGTTCAAAGTTTGTTATGTATGCCTCAGTTGCCATAAACATATAGCAATAGATATAGCTGTACCATCAGTCCACTGATGATACAGTAACCACTTTATATGTTTATGTCTTTGGGGAAATATACATATATTGCTTATATGCTATGCTCTATTAGGGAGGGGCGGGTCGAGAGAGAGAGAGAGAGAGAGAGAGAGAGAGAGAGAGAG